TTTTATTTAAAATGTATTTTTTTAAATATACTGTATCTACATAGTTTTGTACATTTTTATAACAGTTTTAGTTATTTTAATACATCAAGTTAAACTAAATGAAAATGAAAATGTTGCCTTGACAACTATGAAATTATATACACACACACATTATATTAAATTTATTATACTTTATACTAATTTTTTTTTATTTTAAGGAACATTTTTTTTTATTATTTTAGTTTTAGGTTTTTTTAAGTTTTAGTTTTAATTAACATAACCCTGATACCTGTGACTTGTTTTCTTCTATGGGACACAAAAGCTGACATTTTAATGAGTTTTACTGGTCGTTCCTTTCTATGCTATAACAGTGAATAGAGACTGAAGCTTTCAAGCACCAAGCGCTTTAAAATAACAAGTGTCTATACAACTTGTGCACTGTATTCCAAGTTTTCTGAAGCCATATGATCTAAATATAACCTGTTATTCAATAAAGATCTTGAATCTATGAGAGATGGATGAATGAGTTGAACCAGTTCACAAAATGATTCACTGAATGATTCATTCACAAATAGGACTGATCCAGTTCTCAAGTTCTCACTGAGTGATTTGGTTGTTAACAGTTAACAGTTACATTTCATTGTGTATTTTATGGCTCCAGAGGACTTTAAAGTCTAGAAAAGTCCTTATTTGTTCCTCAGAAGAACATTCAACGATTTTCTAAACTATAACTAGCAGAATTTCACAGGTGTTGTTTTCTGCTTTCAAGGATGGAAATGGCTATATTGATGAGCAGGAGCTGGATGCTCTCCTGAAGGACCTCTATGAGAAGAACAATAAGGTGAGAATTATTATAGCATTTGACAATGACAGATAAGGAACGCAATTCCACAAATTGTGATTGTGTTTAACCTCAGGATGTGGACTCTAAGAGCCTGACTGGTTATAAGCAAAGCATCATGGCACTGTCAGACGGGGGAAAACTGTACCGCACAGAGCTGGAGATTGTCCTTTGCCGGGAGCCCATGCAGTGAATCGAGGCTTCCTGACCTCCATCTCAGCTCTGTTCCAGCTGCCTGAATACTGTAACCGTGTGCATGTGCCGGGCACCCCATTCCCCTCCCATCCCCCTCTCGAAATGAGTTCTGAATGAGTGTGCACAGAAGAGCACAAAGTCTCTCCTCTCCCCTTCTTTCCTTCCCCTTCCCACACCCCGATCGCCACTGCTTTCCTTTGCCTACAAACTGCAACTACTATGATGCCCTTTGCTCAGATTTTAAACTATATATTTAAATAAGAATCTTTCTGAAAGAGTAGCAGACTAATGGTATAATATGGTTAGATATGTGGTATATTTATTTGGAGTGCTTGGCTTCAAATTCTTCTTCTGGTTTCTTCTCTTTCGTTTGGTTTCCTCTTCGGTTTGTTATTGACCTCATTTCATTTCATTCCTGCCCAGTTATGTTTGGGTTTGTGATGTTTTTTGGCTGATACTGTTTAAGGATGTAACTAAGAGCATTAATAGAAGTTATGTGATATACATTTTGTGTTTCATCTGTTTTGTTAATTCTAGGGAAAAGTTTTTTTTTGTTTGATAATTCAGATGCTTCAGAATGCATTAAAATATATACAATAGCGGGAACATTCCTTTTACAGAACAGAACATCCTTAATTCTTTAAAAATGACCTTTGTCTCATGTAACATCTTATCCAGGCAGTCAGCTCCTCTGTGACATGCTGGATGGAGACATCACATTTCAAGTAAAAATCATTCCTAATTGTGTCCAGATGCTTTTAAACCACATTAAATAATTTATCTGCTAGACTTTTCTCTTACATAACAAGAGTTTGTAGAAATTCCTATCAATTAATCATCAGAACATGAATAATTTATCCAAATGCAGTTTTGGTTTTATAAATGGTGATTCTCTACACTGTTTGCTCTGACTGTTAACATTGCTTTGATATACACTGATAATTGTGTGCAAAACGTTTAACATTCATCTAATCTGACAAATTCTAATCTATTTAACATTCTATATAATATTTTAGTTCTAGAAAAAAACACATTCCTGTATCTGAAGATGACTATTTCAAGTAAAAAATACTGGTAAGTTATTATAATTATTTTTCTTAAACGCTTAAGCATACAAAAAAAAATAATAATAATCAGAAAGTAGATTTTTTTTTTTATCATGCACTCAAGTATATGCTAAACAGTTTCCTCAGCTCTAAAAATGTTGCTTTTAAAGATATAAAAAGCTTTGCCCTCCCCTTTGTACCTACTGAATACAATTACCAGAAAGCATTCACAGTCTGGTATAATGTCTATATTGTAATTGTCAGGGCAATTAATTAATAAATGAAGAGAATTATGTTCTTTTATTAATGATGTTTAAATATAGCTACTGTGAATTTAATGAGGAACTGAGAGTGGATGGCTCAATTCTCCTCTATAGCATTTCTACACTACACAAAATGGGAATGAGTCTGTGTTCTTCAAAAAGAAAACATTGTTTCCTCAAGGTAATCGATGCAAATTGAAAATCCTTCATTTTAATTTGGAGGCCTTTGAGATGCCTTTCAATTACCTCAAGCATCTAAATGCATTTTAAGACTTGATGAAGCTGATCCAGGTATAAAAAACATCTAATGGTGCATCAACAGTTCAAAACAGCGTTGGATTCAATTAATATTTGCCATAATTCATAAAACTTTGGTTACTACTGCAATTTCCCCCATTACTTCTGTGTAAATGAATAGATCTCTTTCAACTGCAATTGATGTTTTTAGGAGATGCTTGTAAAAAAAAAATT